TCAACAACGAGTGATCAAACACCCACTGTGTGCTGGTCTTGTCCCAGGCCGTGCAGACACATACGTGTCCCTGTCCCAACAGAGACAGACATCCAACACCGCACAGCTCATACATAATCATACACTGTGATACATACCATGAAGCAAAAGACAGGCCCCATGGAAGAGAATAAAAGGGAAGACACTGATGGGCTAGGGGTTCCAGAAAGGCTTCTCTGAGAAGGTGACATTAAAACTGAGACCTGGGTGGCTCAGTGGTTGCGCTTTTGGCTCAGGTAATGATCCTGGGGTCCTGAGATTGAGTCCTGCATCAGGCTCCCCACAGAGAGTCTGCTTCTCCCTCTGCCTATGTCTCTGCCTCTCTCTGTGTCTTTCATGAATAAATAAAATAAATAAAAATCTTCAAAAAGAAACTGAGACCTGGGGGTGGAAGAAAGGAAGAGCACTGCAAGTGGAGGGAACAGCTGTGCAAAGCCCCTGAGGTGGGCACTGAAAACTGCTCAGTATCAGGGGAGGCCAGTGCAGAAGGAAGAAGGGAAAGGAGTAATGTTATTTTGAAGAGATGAGTCGGTAGAGGCCACGGGAAGGAGCCTGGTCGTTATGTCAAATGAAAGGCCTTTGAAGGGTTCTGATCAGAGCAGTGACACCCCGAGGCCCGTCTTCAGAACACTACCTGCATGAGGTCCAGGCACAGCCCGGTGTGGAAGATGCTATGTGAGGCCAAAACCCAGAGCCTGCTTCATCATCTGGAAACCACCACACAAAGGCGAGGTTTGTCTCGATTAAGCAACCTTCAGTCAGGCACTTCCCTTGATGGTTGGGGCGAGGGAAACTGGCTCTGAACCGTGATAGCCAGAGCAATTTGCATACATTACAAGATTATTGCTACGGCTCATTTGTTACTAGACGAAAAATGACATCAGTCACTGGAGACACCTGTTCAGGTCATGAGGCTTGTCCCCCCAGCCAGTGGGGGGATTTTCCCATAAAGCTTTTGTTTCTTCTTCTACTTTTGCTACTTTCTTATTCCTACTCAGCCAGTGCACTTTCACTACCCCTGAATTCTCCAGATCTGAGGTGTCCTTTGGCCCCCCTTGACTCCCATCCCACCAGGGTCCATGGTGGATGGCTGTGGCTCCCAGTGACGATTGGGACCACGTGTCTGGACTCCCACTTCTCATTTCTGCCCATTCATATGACATGAAGGGAGCTTATCAGTAGGGGCTTAGTGAGGTTTTGAGGGGACCTGGCCATCCCTGTCTGTTGGGATGGGATTTCCCAAGGTGGACATTCCTCCAGACATTGAATGGAGTTTTACGAAGAAAACAGTTCTATGGACAATAAAGTCCGGATACCCTGTTTCAACACACTGAAGCAGCTTGCTTTATTGCAGAACTTTTCAGAACATCTAACATGCTAATGTGCTTTATAAAGCTCCAGGGAGTAATATATATTTATCCTTTTCTTGAGGAGCATTTTACAGAGTAGTGTCTGGAAGTACATGCCCCAGGTCATCCATAGCTGCCAAGTGGCAGAAGGAAGGACACTTCAAAGTGATCATTGTGGGTCAGGCCAGCGTCTGCCTTTCCTTCCTGGCTCTGGACTCCAGGGTCCTGGAAGGAATAGTCTCAAACCCCCAATTCCCAACACAGGATGAAAGAGTGGGGGTTTCTCCTTTCCTTGAGCCTGCAGTACACAGTCTCGCGTCTCCGACCTCTCCGAGTTATCAGTGACTCCTGGAGCCGGTTGAAAGCCATGCTTGGCTCAACTGTACAAAGACAGAAAACATGTTGGCTGGGGCATTGTTTAATCTGCTTTAAATAATGGAAAGCTTTTCAGTACTTTTATCTTTCTTTTTAATTACTAAGCAAATACCTATTTTGGAAAAATGAACAAATGAAAAAAATCAAACAATACCCAAATGTATAACAGTAAAAAGCCAATGTCTCCTTTGGCCTCCTCCCTCTGCCTGGCCTGCAGCATTTGTTTGCTACGTTGGGTTTGGCAGATGAGAAGGCTGGTCTGCAGTCGGAGGGCCTGGGTTCAGCCCCAGCTGAGATGGGCTAGCTGTTCGTCCTTGCGAGCAAACCTCAGTTGGCTCATCCATAAAGTGGAGGGCCTGGGGGAGTACTGAGTGATGGGAAATACAGAGACCGCTCAATAAAGCTCTTGCTCCTAGTGGACTTCAGTTAAATGTGAGGCTTAGTATTTTTTTTTTAAGATTTTATTTATTTATTCATGAGAGACACACAGAGAGAGAGGCAGAGACACAAGTGGAGGGAGAAGCAGGCTCCATGCGGGGAGCCTGATGTAGGTAGGACTCGATCCCAGGATCCCAGGATTACGACCTGAACTGAAGGCAGATGCTCAACCACTGAGCCACCCCGGTGCCCTGTCTATACGCAGAAGCTACTATACAGAGATTTATTTTTCAAGTTAATATTCAGATGATGAAAGTTAAAGATTCAAAAACAGATTAGTCAACTCATCCTACAGGTTAACCTTTTTTTTTTTTTTTAAGATTTTAGTTTTAAGTAATCTCTATACCCAACGTGGGACTCAAACCCACAACCCCAAGATCAAGAGTCGCATGTATCACAGACTAAGCCAGCCAGGCATCCCCAGGTTGGCTTATTTTTGACACTGGGAACTAAACCCTATTCCAGGACTGGGATAGGATCATAACTGCCGTAGAAAATGTCATGCTTTTAAGTTCAGCTTATAAAAATCCTTTTTATAAATTCAGGCGGGATTGTCAGATAAAACAGAGGATAGGATGTCCGATGAAATTTGAATTATCTAAGAGTCAAATTTACCTGGGGGTGCCTGGGCGGCTCAGTTGATTAAGCATCTGCCTCTTGATTTTGGCTCAGGTCATGATCTCAGGGTCCTGGGATTAAGCCCTGAGTTAGGCTCTGTCCTCAGCAGAGAGTTGGCTTGAGATTCTCCCTCCCCCTCCCTCTGCTCTCTCTTTCTCAAATAAATAAATAAATCTTAAAAAAAAAAAGTTTACCTAGTGCTCTGTATTTTTATTCGCTAAATCCAGCCAACCCTACATTCAGCAAACTGAAAGATTTACTTTTAAGGGGTTATAGACCCATTTGTAAACACTTTAAACTTCTTTTTGTTTTTTTAATATTTTATTTATTTATTCATGAGAGATACAGAGAGAGGCAGAGACACAGGCAGAGGGAGAGGCAGGCTCCATGCAGGGAGCCTGATGCAGGACCTGATCCCTGGACTCCAGGATCACGCCCTGGGCTGCTAAACCACTGAGCCACCCAGGCTGCCCTAAACTTCTTTTATACATTTAATAGACCCCATTTCCTAGTAAACTTTAGTTGTCTGAACTAATCAAAAAGCAACATTTTAAAATACTAAGTAATTCTTTTATCTTTTTTTTATACAATTTTTAAAAGTAATCTGTGTACCCATCGTGGAGCTTGAACCCACCACCTTGAGATCAAGAGTCCCACAGTCTACTAACTGAGCCAGCTAGGTGCCCCTAAATGCTAAGTAATGTCAATAAATTAAACTTATAAAACAAATTCTTATAAATGTTTCAGAACTGTGCGTGAATCTAAAAAGGTTACAACTGACAGTCACAAATCTAAATTGGTCCCTCTCACTGCACAGTTGATGTGGAGTTACAAGATTGTCAGTTAAATAGGCCAGAATCTTTCATATGTTACAAGTTCATAAAATGCGCATATGTACAAATTCCTTCTAAAGGCACAAAAGGTGTTTCCCCACATTCAATTTTGCCAAGGAAAACAATCATCACCCTTTTCCTCAGAGATTCAAAGAGACCTGTTGCAGACACCAGGGAGCTGCATTTCATTTCACCAGGAGCTCAGGAAACCATTATTTCCTCCCATGTGCTATTTGGGGTTATCTCCTTGGGATGCCTGAGTGTGCTTGGCCAGAGATTTTGGCCAGGATGAGCCTGGCTGTATGTTAGTGATATGTGCATGCTTCCCCCTGTGGTTACAGCCACCCGCCCATCTCTTCACGAGGGGGTGGCCCCAGAGATCCCTTCTTCCCAGAGTTTTCCTTACCAAAGACTGCAAATCTCACCAGGGCTTATAACTTGATTACATTTTGTTTCTTTTTCTTTTCTAAGATTTTATTTATTTATTCACGACACACACACACACACACACACACACACACACACACACACACACAGAGGCAGAGACACAGGCAGAGGAAGAAGCAGGCTCCACGCAGGGAGCCTGACCCGGGACTCGATCCAGGGTCTCCAGGATCACACCCTGGGCTGAAGACAGCGCTAAACCGCTGAGCCACCCGGGCTGCCCTGCATTTCTTTTGCATTTCAGATCTTCCTATCTTCATGCCCACACCTCTAAAACTCATTTTACATGGGTTGAAATCCTATAGTTCTTGAAAAACCTTCCTTTGGGGGGGTGTATATCTCTCACACACATTAAAAAATATCTGGCTCAATCGTGGATCTCTCCAGGGCTTTAACTGGTTCTCTGTCCTTAGAGTCCAAGGACATTGCACAGACCCATTCTAGCAGACTAGAGATTGCGCTCCCTGGCAACACATGGCTAGTAGTTGGTGTGTTAAACTGTATGTGGTAAAACTGCCTAAAACATTATGTAAGTCAAACCAGAGTTGACCTTAATTATACCCATCAGGGTGACTAGAGAGTCAGAGCCTGGGTGTGTCCAAGGACAGCTGACTGCCAAATCCCAGCCAAGACAGAAAACCTGGCAGGATTTCCCACTGAGCCCTGCCTCACCGTCCCCCCCCCCGCCCCCCACCCAGAGGGCCCCCTCACCCGGCCTGCCTCTGGGGAGGACCACTTCCGAGTTATCAATTCTCAGGAAAAGGCACATGGCGTGCCCCCACAGGGTTGGTGACCAGATGTCACAGCTGGCTCCCGGTTGGGATGTGAGTGACTTTGCAGGGATGGTCCCTCAATTACGCAGGCTGATTTCCTCACCAGAGCAATGAAAACAGGGGCTCCTCAAAAGACTAGCCACTTTTCTTAATTCCTTGGGGAATGAAACCCATGCTCTTTAGTTCCTCAGAGAAGTGAAAGTAGCAACATGGAATCCAGTAATTCCTGTTATCTGCAGGCTTTATAAGACAGCTGAGCTTGAGGAGGTGGCCTGAAGCCCACACGCTAGACACCGCTGTCCTGTCGTTGAAGCCAGGGGAGCGCCAGGATGCCTCGGCTCCCAGCCTTCCTGCTGTTTCTCCTCCTTTCCATCAGCAGTGCCCTGGCCCTGAGGCTCTGCTCCTTTAACGTGAGGTCCTTTGGGGGAGCCAAGAGGGAAAACAAGAATGCCATGGATGTCATCGTGAAGGTGAGACCCCTTCATGTCAAGAGCCCTGGACACCCCTCATGAGCTCTCTGGGCTTTCCGACTTTAAGAAAATTTGGAGAAATTTCACCAAAGTTAGTTTCTAGGGGGAAGGTAGCAGCTACCTTGGCATTTTGTCACAATAATGACAGCAATAATTCCGATAACCACATCCCCTCTCTGGGCTTCATGGCGTCATTTGAACGTGATGGGTGTTCAGGAGGCCTGAGAGTACCTCGCTGTAGGATTCTTTGGGGGGCATGTGGGAGTTGGTAAATGTAAAGCTCCTAAAACAGTATCTGGCTCAGGCGAGCTCCAGGTAAGGGCTGGCTATTACGCTAATTGTGATTGTTACCGTTTACTGAATGCCCCTGTCAGGCACTACAGATACACGATTTCATGTCACCACCCTTAAGAAAGAAGGCTATTATCCCCATGAAGAGATGAGCAACTAAAGGTGTAGTGACCTCATATAGGTGGTGGGTGGGTGGGTGGAGTGGGAGCTGGGATGCCAGCCCAGCCTGGTCTTTTGATCCATCAACACAGGACAGAATTTTTGCTCTTTCTTTTCTTTCTTCTCTTCTCTTCTCTTCTCTTCTCTTCTCTTCTCTTCTCTTCTCTTCTCTTCTCTTCTCTTCTCTTCTCTCTCTCTCTTCTCTTCTCTTCTCTTCTCTTCTCTTCTCTTCTCTTCTCTTCTTCTTTCTCTTCTCTTCTCTCTCCTCTCCTCTCCTCTCCTCCTCTCCTCTCCTCTCCTCCTCTCCTCTCCTCTCCTCTTCTCTTCCTCCCTCTCTTTTCTTTCTTTTTTCTTCTTTCTTTTATTCATTCTTTCTTTCTCTCTTCCTTCTCTCCCTCCCTCTCTGCCTCTCTTCATCCTTCTCCACCTTCCACCGCATCAACCTTTTCCCAACTACAATTTTTTTTAAAGATTTTATTTATTTATTCATGAGAGACACAGAGAGAGGCAGAGACGTAGGCAGAGGGAGAAGCAGGCTCCCTGCGGGGAGCCCGATGTGGGACTCAATCCCAGGACCCCGGAATCACGACCTGAGCCAAACGCAGATGTTCAGCCACTGAGCCATCCAGGAGCCCCCAACTACAAATTCTAATCTTTCTCTGTACTTAGATAAGACTTCCTTTGGGTAATATGACCAAGGTCTAGAGCCTCTGCTCACATTTCTCTGGAGTCAGTTGACTTTCTTTACCTGACAAATTAATTTATCTTTGCTGATGCTGGAGCTGATACCTTTCTCAGGACTCTCTCTGGGTGTTATCACCTAGAAAACCCTGGAGGCACCGTGGTATGGTGGGAACATCGGGAGCCCTGAATTCAGATCCTGCCCAGCAGCTGTGTGAGCAAGCTCGGGAATTCCCTTCTCCTCCTGAGCCTCTGGGCTTTTCAGAAAGTGGGCCTTATACAACCTGTAGCACCAGTTGACTGAGAGAACTCAAGGTGTGGAAGGGCTGGGACCGGGCAGGTGATCACAGAGCTGCCACTGTTGTTATTAATACACAAAATGGATTAGAGCAAGGACACATGCTCAGTTCTTACTTAGGTGGTCCTCTCCTTGGTTGGCCCTGCCCTTTGGATGGAATCCAAGACCTTCCAGAGGTGGTTGTTTAGCCAGAATAGCCATGCCCAACCTGTGGGAGCCAAGACTCTCTGGCTCAACAGGGAGCTCTGACATGCAAGGAAACTATTTTCCCTGCTTCCTCACGCAAGGGCCCTTTGAGCCTGGGTATCTATGAGCTCCCAAGTTCCTATCACCTTCCTCACTTATTCTACCCAGGAAAAGTCATCATAGTCTTAAGAGGCTATCTTTTGTTTCTTTTTTTTTTTTTTTAAGATTTTATTTCTTTGAGAGGAAGAGAGAGATATTGAGAGAGAGCATGAGCAGAGGGGAGGGGCAGAGGGAGAAGCAGACCTCCTGGTGAGCAGTGAGCCTGATGGAGGGCTAGATCTCAGGACCCCGGGATCATGACCTGAGCTGAATATAGATGTTTAACTGACTGAGCCATCCAGGCACCCTGGACTTTTATATTCTTATTTAATATTATGGCATAGGTGGCATTGTCCCCACTTTGTAACTAAGGAGACAGACTCAGGATGGTGAAGTGATTTACCCAGGATTCCTTAGCTGTAAGTGGAAGAGCCAGGATCGAATCCAGCCATATGACCCAACTCTATTAGTGGAGATGCCCTTTCTACCCTTCTATACTGGATTTATCACTTAGGAGACGAGCCCAGTTTCATCATGCTGTTGTCATTAGGACCTTCATCAGGGAGTTTGGAGAGTGAGGGAGGCCTGCCTTTTCCATCTTGGGTTTGCTGGCTGGCACAATGGGCAGTTCTCCAGATGCTAAACCCTGCCTGGGCAAGGCTGCTTCTATCTGCTTCTTCACTCTGTGTCCTTAAAGAGCAATGTTTTTTCATCCAACAAATACTCACGGAAGGTAGGCCAAGTGCCAGATGCTCTGAGGCATTGGGGATAAGATGGTGGACGTGGGAGGCATCGTCTCCCACAGCTCATGGTAATTATAATTTCAGGAGTGCTTATTGTATGCTGGGCCCTTAATATGCAGAATCCAAGTTCAGCTTCACAACTCTCTGGTTGCCTTTTGCTGACAGGCAAATAGAGTTCAGAGAGAAGTAAGTAGCCCCGGGTCATGGGGCCAGTAAGTGTAAGAGCAAGGGCTAGGACCCAGGCCTAACTGACCCTATGCGGGCTCTTTCCCCAGCTATGCTGTGCTGATCCCAGGTTAGAGCCACAAAAGAGGGCTTCAGAGACTTCTAGCGGCCCAAGTCTTCATAAGACTTCTCTAGACTGTCCCTGCCACTCTCTCCAGGCCCACTCACAAAACAACACCACTTTCTGAGAACCCCTCACCATTGACCATGCTCAGCTCCTACTCCCTCCCCTCTGTCAGGAAATTCCTGAGTTTCAGGTCTGGAAGGGGCCTTCTGGGGGGCCCCCTTTGTCTTTGGAGCCTCATTCTGTTCCGTTCTGTTCTGAGGAGGCGATAGCGTCAGGGGAGATATATCTTGCCCGGCCTGAAACAGGGGCAGGGAAAACATGTACCAGTGATAGATTTGAAAAGTGAGTGTTAAATCACTGTGAGGAAAATGCTCACGACATCACATGAGGCTGAAAAAAAAAAAAAAAAAAAAAACGACAAGACCCCAATTTTGAGATAAACATTGCCACTCTTTGTGGAGCTCTCTTCCACACCAGGGAATGGACTGAATGTTTTATCTCATTATATCCTTTAATCCCACATGGCAACCTCATGAGGAGGATATTGTCCCAGTTTCCAGATAAGGAATCTGGCGGGTTTGGGGAGTTTAAGTGACTTGCTTAGGGTCACACGGCTGGTGAGCGATAAGAGTCAAGATCCGAATCTGAGGCGATTTGATTCAATGTCTATATTTTTAACTGACAGGCCAGTTATTTTGATGTATTTTTGTCAATATGGATAAGTTTAGAAATCACATGAGGGGTGTCTGAGTGGTGGGTTTACAGGTCATCAGGTGATTTTTTAGTCTTTTCTGCATTTTCCATATTTTCCACAATAAGCAATACTATTTTTATAATTAGAAAAAATTTCTTTTTAAAAATAAATTCTACATTTTTATTTTTTTTTTAATTTATGATAGGCACAGAGAGAGAGAGAGAGAGAGAGAGAGGCAGAGACATAGGCAGAGAGAGAAGCAGGCTCCATGCACTGGGAGCCTGATGTGGGATTCGATCCCGGGTCTCCAGGATAGCGCCCTGGGCCAAAGGCAGGCGCCAAACCGCTGCGCCACCCAGGGATCCCCAATTCTACATTTTTAAAAAAGATTTTATCTATTTATTAATGAGAGACACACAGAGAGAGAGGCAGAGACACAGGCAGAGGGAGAAGCAGGCCCCTTGCAGGGACCCGACGTGGGGCTCGATCCGGGGTCTCCAGGATCATGCCCTGGGCTGAAGGTGGCATTAAACCGTTGAGCCATCGGGGCTGCCCTAGAAAAATTTTCTAATTTATAATTAGAAAATCCTATTTTTATAATTAGAAAAATAATTAGAAAAGGACTAGCTAGGAAATTTAGTCCTATTTTTCTTACAATGGCCATAAAGAAGATTTAAATACAGGGAGGTATTTGTGCTTTATAAATTTGGCTCGACTGATTCCAGTATGGCCCCCTCTCCCTCTCTCCCTCCTTCACTCCTTGCCCTCTCTCATTTACTCATACCAGATGCTGTACAATTGTGAGTAAAGCAAGGCCTAGCATGTTGTCTGGCACAAAGCAGGCCCCTGATAACATTTTGTTGGATGGATAAGCAAATGAATAGATAGATGGGTGGGAGGATGGATGGCTAGATGAGGGCCAGCCACTTATAGTTATAGATTTCATCCCCAGGAGAATTCTGATGATGAGATTTTTTTTTTCTTTAAAGATTTTATTTATTCATGAAAGACACAGAGAGAGAGGCAGAGACATAGGTAGAGGGAGAAGCAGGCTGCCTACAGGGAGCCCGATGTGGGATTTGATCCCTGGACCCCAGGATCATGACCTGAGCCAAGGGCAGACACTCAACTACCGAGCCACCCAGGTGCCCTTGATGATGAGGTCTTGAGCCATTCCTCTACTGCAGCGTATATTCCAGTCTATAGGAAATATTCCCAGAGGTTCAGAGGAAACTGCCCAAGGGAAGTGGAAATCTGCTGGAGTTACTGCTGGAGATGTGGGGCTCCAGGGTGCTTGTTACGCGCACAAAAGTGCTGTAAGCAGGGAATTAAAAAGCTCGACCTTTCTGCTCAGGAAAGGGAGTCTGAACCCTGGTCCATTTTTGCCCTGTACCTATGAATTATATTCAAAAGGGAGGAGAAAAATCACAGGAACCATGGTGATTTCTTTGGCTATTGAGTATAGTGGTCAAGAGAGGTTCTGTAGTGGATGATCCCATAACTCATATTCACTTGATGTTCAGATTACTTAGCCACACTGAGGCTGAGTCCCCAACTATACAATGGGGATAAAAAGAAGACCTGTATATAAGGGTTATTAGAAACATTTAATGAGTCAATGATAAGAGCTAACACTTACAAAGCCGTCCCTATGTGCCAGGCATTGTATGAGGTACTTAATGTAAGACAACTTATTTAAATGTTAAATAGTTAGAATCGCATCTGTCATATCTTAATAAATATTGGCCATCGTGTCCTCCCCTATCATTCCTTCATCATCAAGCAATTTTCTTTTTCTTTTTTTTTTAGTTTTCTTTTTTCAATAACACATTAATTTTTTAAATTAGAAAGGCATAACTCTTTAAATTATACATTTATAATTTCTGAATTAATTGTATCAAGTTAAAAATAGTAGGGACTATTTTGAAAATATAGAAACAAGTTAAGAAGTATTATTCTATTACTTGAAGATAAAAGCTGTTGGCATTTAGGGCATTATGGGCATTTTTCTATGCAAAAATACATAAATTTGCATCTGTTTTTCAGCCTACAGACTACCCTATACCATCCGTTTTGTATCTTGCTTTTATATTAGAGGCGTTTCACATGTTGTTAATATTCTTTTATATTATAATATTCTTTTAAAACATGACTTTTTTAAGGGAGGGAAGGGCAGAAGGAAAAAGAGAAAATCTTAAGCAGGTTCCACACCCAGCGCAGAGCCCGACAAGGGGCTCAATCTCACGACCCTGAGATCATCACCTGAGCCAAAATTAAGAGTCAGTTGCTTAAGGGCTGAGCCACCCAGGCGCCACTAAGCCATGACTTTCAATGCCATATAATGCCCTATGCTATGTTTGCAACATCTTTCATTTAATGCTTTCCTGTTTGGGGATAGTTAGGTTATTTCCAATTTTTTTGTTGTTGTTGCAATGCGTCTTCCTCTTTGATCTGTACAAGTAATAACAATAGCAGTAATAATCTATTGTGTGCCTTCTATCTGGGTGGTACTGCTCTCAGTATTCATTTAATCCTCCAGCAACCCTATGAGGGAATAACTATCATCATTCCAATTTATAGATGGGGATAGTGAGATGCAGAGAAGTAGTAGATAATTCTTTTTTTTTTTTAAGGACTTTATTTATTTGAGAGAGAGAGCGAGAGAGAGAGAGAGCATGAGCAGGGAAAAGGCAGAGGGAGAGGGGGAGAGGCAAAAAAAGGAGGGGAGGGGCAGAAGCAGGATCCCTGCTGAGCAGGGAGCCTGACTCGGGACTCGATCTCAGGACCCTGAGAAGTTAACTTCATCTTTAATTAAAAAAATAAGATAGGGATCCCTGGGTGGCTCAGCAGTTTAGCGCCACCTTCAGCCCAGGGTGTGATCCTTGAGCCCTGGGATTGAGTCCCATGTTGGGCTCCCGGCATGGAGCCTGCTTCTCCGTCCTCCTCCTGTGTCTCTGCCTCTCTCTCTCTATCTCTCTATGTCTATCATAAATAAATAAATAGATAGATAAATCTTAAAAAAAAAAGATAAAACGGAACTACCTCAGGAAGTTCCTCACTTGTTTCAGCAATGAAATTAACTCCTTTAACAAAGCACCAATTCTATACTTAAAATGTAAGTGCCTAATAAAAGATTTTATTGTTTATAGATCTATAATTTGCCTAAAACATCTGGGAATTGTCTCTGCAGGTCATCAAACGCTGTGATATCATACTCCTGATGGAAGTCAAGGACAGCAACAACATGATCTGTCCCACGCTGTTGGAGAAACTAAATGGGTAAAGACAGGGCCCTGGGGCCCCCTGCAGGCTCAAGGTCAAGTGCAAGGGCACCTGAAAAGCCCAGAAACTGAAACTAGCGTGAAAGCTAGCACTGGCCCTGACCACCAGGTCACATGGTCAACACTGCCTAGGCTCCCAACTCCACTGGCTGCAGTCCTGAGAACTTTCCATTGTCTAGTTTTCATATGATAAAGCAAAATAGAGGAAACAGATGAGGAGCCAGGACAGAGAAACAAAAGAGACAAGAGGCTGAGCTGAGAACTACTGTTATAAGCTAAGACTGAGTACAAATATGAAGTTACGATATGCCGGCTGGCTAGAATATTATGTAGCCATTAAAAAATCATGTTCACTACAGACTAGGTTAGAGCTAAATATGGAAAGACGGCTGCAATATATTGAAAAGAATAGGGGGTGTATGTAGAATAGCCCATTTTAGTAATCATAATACACTATGCATGAATGAGAGTGTGTTTGAGTTTACATGGGCATAGAGGAAAGAATGGGAAGGATGTGCCCCAAACTGTTTACAGCGGTTATTTCTGGGCCAGGGGGTGGGTGTGATTGCAGGACCATTGTGGACAAGGTCCATAAAGAAATGGAAAACATTTACTTTTTTTTTTTTAAAGGAAATTCCTCATATGGAGCTTCCTTTTTTTTTAAAAATTTATTTATTTATGATAGTCACAGAGAGAGAGGTAGAGACATAGGCAGAGGGAGAAGCAGGATCCATGCACCAGGAGCCCGATGTGGGATTCGATCCCGGGTCTCCAGGATCGCGCCCTGGGCCAAAGGCAGGCGCCGAACCACTGCGCCACCCAGGGATCCCACATTTACTTTTTATTTTATATACTTCTATATGATTTAAATATTTTACAAAAGTCTGAATTGATTTTATATACTTCAAAAAAACCCCAAAAGATAATGCCCTCAAATAATTTTATATTACATTGGATTATATTTATGATTTATATTCTTTCTCAAAGAATAGTCAGCAGACCCACCCACCTGAAAATCACCCCAAAGTGAGTTAAAAAGGCACATTTGAGAACCTCCCATCTATTAAATGAGAATGTCTGTGGCATCCCTAAGAATAATCTTCTAGTATAATATTTCTTTTGTGCAGGCATGATAAGATTACACCACAAACCAGAGTATATTCAATTATGTCAAAAGAAAAACAAAACAAAAAAACATATAAAAAATTCAAAAGCAGTGAACCAGACAATTTGACAATGGCTATCTTAGCCTTAAAAATCACAAGGCATTTAAATGTGATGTCTTTTCTATATATTTTGTATTTTCCAGATTTTCTATAATGAGAATGTTATGCCTCCTTTCTTTTTTCTTATGAAATATTTTAGATATACTTAAAAGCACAGAGAAAATGATAATAAACAACCATGTAATCCACCATCCAGATTGAACAATCAGTACATCTGGCCATTATTGTACTTCCATAATTAAGATAACTCACATTGTGTTTTTTAAAATAAATGAATGGTCAATCCAGCTTCAATAGGCCCTGGGAGGAACAGCTTTGGACACTCATTCACACAGAGGCCTCTTGGGCTGGCCCCACCCACCCTGGGCCTCAATTTCTCATCTGAAAATACGGAGTTGGAGCTGAACTTCTCCTTTTAACCTCAGAGGCTCTTTTCTGTCCCAGATCGGATCTTTGACAATAGAAAAGGGAATTTAACACAAGGGTTAGGTGTCTACACTGGTCTCAGACCATTTGTGTTTGGATCTTGCTTCTACTACGACCTTGGGCAAGTTACTCAAACTCTTTGACCTTTTTTCCCATCTATAAAATGAGGCTAATAATGAACCCATTTTCCTGGGGTGTGGCAGTAATTAAATCCTGCATTTAAGTGGTTGGACTGTGCCTGGCACGTAGCAGTGATCATAAGTGGTGGTAGTGTCTATTACTAGTAAAAGGATGAAAATTATGATGGCAGATGGTGGTCCAGAGGGCCACATGTAACAGCTACCATCAACACCCTAACTATATGCCAGGGATTCTGTTAATCAATTCCTGTGTGCTCTTTGATTTACTTCCACAACTCCTTAGTGGGGTCGGCACTATTACTCCTTCCCTTGTAACCGAGGGAACTGATGCACAGAGATGAGGGACCTGCCCAAGGTCACCCAGCCAGTAAATGGTGGAGCTTACCTTTGGACCTGGGTCATGCTTGACTCCAAAACCGGTGCTCTATTCTGAACCTCCTCAGTCTTCCACAGAGGGTCTCTGATCAATTTTCAGAAGTATGAGAGGACAGGGGTCTCCTGCCCCCTCCCCATAGGCAGCCTGGATAGGGTCTTCCTACCCCCACCACTCAGTTCTCCTCAACCTCCCTAGAGTGTCCCATGGACACCAGGCAGAGGCAGGCCTCTTTGTCCCTTTATCCCCAGTAAGCCTGGAGGGGCCTTAGTCACCTTACAGCTGAGTCATTTGCAAGCAGTTTGCCAACCCCAAATTTGGCAGGCTTGATTCAGAACAAGGCCAGCTTTCCCAAGCTGGATGCCCAGTAGAGTCCACTGTCCATACTTCTTGGGCCCCAATGGCCGGATCTGCCTTAGAATGTGTATCTAAATTCCCAGGAATTTTTGTAGGGCCTAAGGCGGCTCCTAAACACCCCCTTTGCTATTTTCCAACTGAACCTGAGAATATGCTGCAGCTTAGAGGTGTACTTAATCTTTTCGTGGACAAATGGAGTAAAACCACATCAGGCTCTGTCCAGAGTGGAGTTATCAGCAGGTTTGGCAAACACACAGAGTCAATTTCCCTGGTACACAGCTATATCTCTATCCCAGGACATAAACAATAGCTGATTTGAAATCATAGTTCTAGGACTTGTGAGAAAAATGTTTGGGGATTTTCAGAGCAGAAGTGAATGTCCAATGAAAATGGTACCAGGAATGATGCATATGATAAATGTTCAGGAGTAGTGCAGGGACAGGATGACCTGATAAGGTTTATTCCATCAGGAAGTATGAGGTCAGCCCAGCCATGAGCCAGAATGGGATTTGGGACTGATTCTGGCCTGAATCGTCTATGGTCTCAATAATGTGCCACAGGTGTAGGCCCAAGCATGTGGATTTGGAGTAGGTAGGATCTGAGCTCAAACCCCAGCTGTACACCTGCAAACTATAAAAAATGAGTAATAATAGTATCCACATTCTAAGAGCAAGAGATAATGGCTGTAAAGATCCTGGAAGATAGATGTCACATTCCCAGTCAATGGTGGCCCTTCTTATTAGACTCCAAGGTTACAGCAAATGGTAGCCTTTCTCCATGATGTAATTGGTGATATGGACATAGATTGAAAAGGGGGAGCATGCAGTAGGAGGTAGTTTCTTTTTTAAAATGTAATGTAATGGGATCCCTGGGTGGCGCAGCGGTTTGGTGCCTGCCTTTGGCCCAGGGCGCGATCCTGGAGACCCGGGATCGAATCCCATGTCGGGCTCCCGGTGCATGGAGCCTGCTTCTCCCTCTGCCTGTGTCTCTGCCTCTCTCTCTCTCTCTCTGTGTGTGTGACTATCATAAATAAATAAAAATTTTTAAAAAAATAAAATGTAATGTAAAATCTTTATGTTTTCTAGAAATTCAAGAAGAGGCATAAAATACAACTATGTGATTAGCTCTCGGCTTGGAAGAAACACATATAAAGAACAGTATGCCTTTCTCTACAAGTGAGTATAGTCTCTGCTTCCTGGGACATGATTCACCTACAAATGATGACCATGAACTGAATCAAAATGCATATCTTTTCTTCAAAACCAAATTTTGATATCTAATGGTCTCTAACCAGTTCTCAATATTGATCAAAATAATTGCTGTCAAATTGAGGCTGAAGCAAAGCATTACCTCCTCAAATTAAAAAGCACATGCAGCTTCCTGACACCTAATATGTTGGTTGACTCAGTGGCTGCCTGGTCAGGAGGGTCAGGAGTTCTTTATCCTTCAGAGTTAAGTGCTAGCCAGGGATGGAAACCTAAGCTGCCCAGCATGGCTGACTCTGAAACTACATAGCCTTGTCTTCTCCCTACTAGTAATTTGCTCTAAGTCTGAACAGTAGCTGTGGATGCCCCAGATAACTGGTACTGCTCAGATCTCCAGCTTTCAAAGGGCCCTGGTCATTGAGAAGAGTTGATGGAATTTGTTCTGGAGTGAAATATCCCTTGCAGGGCGAGAGCCTGCCTGGGGGGAGGGGGGGAGGGGGGCTACTAAAGCCATAACCTGTGTCTCTGCTTCCTGAATAAATTAGGAAGGCAACTGACTCAGCTGGAAGGGCTTTCTTTTTTTTATTTCTAGGGAAAAGCTGGTGTCTGTGAAGAAATACTACCTCTACCATGACTATCAGGCTGGAGATGCAGATGTGTTTTCCAGGGAGCCCTTTGTGGTCTGGTTCCAGTCACCCTTCACCGGTGAGACCCACAGTATCCTCTTGTGCATAATCTCCCTGTGATCCATGAACCGACAGTAGCCCCGAGTGTGAGCCATGGTCCTGGGGTTTGCTCAGCATTTTTAGGGAAGCCTTAGACTTGAGATGGCCATTAAGAACACCTAGTATTTGAAGGCTGCAGCCTGGCCTGTCAGAATGTCATGACTCAAGATCTCCTCAACCTGGAACCCACCCACCTTCTGAAACTGGGATAACTCCACTCTCTTTGGAGGATTTAGGCTGATGGAAATTATTTACCACAATTCTTCAGTCCCAATCAAATACAACTTCATTTAAAATAAAAATCCCAGTGATGGTTAGATGAACCCCTAACCTAGAGTCTCCCTCTCCCTCCCTCCCTCTCCAATCCTCTCTACAGACTGGGTGTAGAGAGGAAATCCAATCAATTGCACCCTGAACTCTGACAACACCTACACATGTACAAGCTACTATAATTATTGACCCCTGATTAGTGCCAGGTTCCTGTAATCCTTGCAACACTCTGAGGGTAAGACCTAGGATTATCTGCACTTTACATTTGTGGAAGCTGAGGTTCAAACAGCAGGTGGAATCACTTGCTCAAGGTCACCCAGCAGCTCTTGAAATGAATGAGCAGGGTGGTAACACAAGCCACTATCTTGGGCGCCCACGTTTTTTGTTTTTTTTGTTTTAAAGATTTTATTTATTCGTGAGAGACACAGAAAGAGAGGCAGACATAGGCCGAGGGAGAAGCAGGCTCCATGCAGGGAACCCGATGCAGGATTCGATCCGGGGACTGCGGGACTACGCCCTGAGCCAAAGGCAGACGCTCAACCGCTGAGCCACCCAGGCGTCCCTGGACGCCCACAGTCTTAACCACTGTGTGGATCTAAATGGAAAGTCAAGAGTTCGTTTGGTTTGCAGATTGGAGCTATACAGAATCAAATATTTTTTTCAGTACTTACCACTGTTCCAGGCCCGGAACAAGACAGACAAGGGCCCTGTCCTAGTGAAGTTACGTTGTAGTGGGCAAGACAGATAATGACCAAATAAATACGTGCAGAGTTGTACGTATGCACACCCCCATGTATACTACACACATATAAACACCCTAAACTGGGAAGTAACTATTTCTGCCCTGGGTTGATTAGTACTTTAGGAAGACAAACATGGAAGAACGGTGGAGGAAATTTCCAGTAGAAAAAGAGGAGATGAGGACTGCTGAGGCCAGAAATGCACTTGGGAGAGTATGTGTCATAATCGCCTTGGTCGTGCATATGATTCACATTTGGCTGACCAGGCAGTGTTGGGAGAGCACCCTGCCCCCTGCCCCTTTTCTCTAAGAGAATCTTCAGCTACACGTAGCTAAATATTATTAAACAAACCTGTTTGTCTTGAGTTTCCACCTTTTTGCCTTTCTCTACCCCTCCTCCCCAAGGATGGCACCACAGCCATGTCCTGTTTGGAATTTCCTCTCTTGTACAAGGAAACATCCTTATGTCCCCTCTATTTGAGATTGAAGAGAGTTAGCCATTCATCTATCATTTCTTTCCTTTATTCATTTACTCATTCATTCATTCATTCATTCATATATTCAATCAACAAACGTTTTTGAGTACCTCTCATGTGCCGGGTGCTGTGCTAGGTCCTGGAACCAAGACGGTGAGCAAGACAGAGCTCAGGTTCCAGTGGGCCAAACTAAGAATTTCAGAGCATGAAGGAAGTAAAAGCAGGGTTCATTCTATAATGGGGTGAGGGGCTCACCTTAGATGGTGCAGACTACAGATGGCCTCTTCAGGGTGACATTGGACGTGACCTGAAGAAGCCAGTCACAGAGGGCTGGGGGAAGGAAGGGCCATTCCAGGGGGAGGTTCCAGTGAGCATACACAAGCTCAGAAGTGGGAAAGGGATGGGGTATTTAGGGGGATCAAAGAGAGGATGGGGAGTGGAGTGGAGGCATGAGGAGGAGAGTGGAAGATAAGGCTGGGTGGTAAGGGCAGGGTTCTGCAGACAGGCTTCCTGACCTGAGTCCTGACTCCTTACTATGTCACTTGAGCAGTGACCCCCAACAGCCCTCAGCTCCTGAGCAAGAGTGGAGGCCCAGGCACAGGAGGAGGAGGAAAGCCTGAGAAAGAGGCAATCAGAAATGTCAGCTGCCACTGGCAGGTGGGCAAGGCATTGTTCCCAGGCTCACCTACATTCTCTGAGATAGGCTCTCTCAGTCCTTCCTGGACGGGGGAGGTTTTCAGATGTTTCACAAAAGGCTGCTTTTCAAAAAAATAATGGGGGGGGGTAGGGTAGTTTTTTCCCAAATTATAAAAGAAGCATAAACTGACAAGCCTCAATTTTTTTTCATTAGAAAAAAAATTTTTTTCTTTAGTACAAAAGCCATGCAGGCTTATTTTTTAAAAAGTAGAAAATATAATTTTTTAAAGAAAGAGAAAAGAAAAACACCCACAGTGTCATCAAGGAGTGCTGTCTTCCAGCTTTCTCTTAGCCATGCAAGGGAGTGGGCGAAAGGAAGCTTTCATCCGCTGATGACAGCGGCCCAGTGGTTCCAGAAACAGGCACATCTCAGCCACCAGCTGGACCCTCTAGGAATGAGGGGACTAGGGATGCCTGGGTGGCTCAGTGGTTGAGCGTCTGCCTTCACCCCTGGTTACACCTGGGGTCCTGGGATCGAGTCCCATGTCGGGCTCCCTGCATGGAGCCTGCTTCTCCCTCTGCCTATGTCTCTGCCTCTCTTTCTGTGTCTCTCATGAATAAATAAAATCTAAAAAAAAAAAAAAAAAAAAAGAGGAGACCAGACCACATAATCTGGGCCTCCCAGGGCGGGGGGGCGGAGGGGGCAGTGGGCAGCCCGTTTCCCCTCAGCAGTGTTCGAGGCACCTGCCGTGTCTGGGGAAGTATGTGACCTCCACCTCTTTCCTGTTCCTCAGCTGTCAAGGACTTCGTGATTGTCCCCCTGCACACCACCCCTGAAGCCTCTGTGAAAGAGATCGATGAGCTGGTTGATGTCTACTTGGACGTGAAGCGCCGTTGGAAGGCGGAGGTGATGACCCTCTGCGTCCCTTGAATTCTCCTCTAGCAAAGGCAGAGTCAGGTTCTGGGAAGGGATGTATCACTCCCCAGGCAGGCCACCCGTGCAGACCACCACCATGTTAGAGCCTCCTTTGAGCCCTTACTTCAGCCTTAAATATCCTTCTTGCTAGATGTGCTGGGTACTCTCCAGGGGGGGTCTCGGCCGTTCACGCACAGCTCCACTAAGAATGGCTGCCCCAGGTCACTGAGTGAGCAGCTAGTGCCAGGCCCTATGCTGAAGCTAGACTTGGGCAAGTTGATTGAATCCTCCCCATAAGCCCACGAAGTAACCACTTTTATCATTCTCACTTTGCAAGGAGAACAGGGAGACACTTAGAGGTCAGGAATCCTTCACTGCAAATGACAGACTCTCAAATTGGTGCATGAAAAGGGCGGTGCAATTTATTGGTTCATGTAACTGGATGTTCAGGGGTAGTTCAGGCAGAGGGGGATCTGGGGCTCAGACAAGGTCATCATGGCTCGGCTTGTCTCTTTCTTTTCTTTGCTTTGCCCTTGTGTCCTCTAAGTGGGCTCCACCTTTGAGATGGCAACAGGGCCTCCAGCAGCTTCCAGACCACTGATGAGTGTTCTGTTCCACGATGCAAGAAGTGCCCCAGGGTTGAGTCACATTATGGGTCCTCATTGGGGCACATGTCCATCAGGGGGCTTGAGAAGCTCTGATTGGTTGAATCTGTGTGTGCTTCAGCCCAACCTCACAGACTGAGGTGAAGGAGGGAAGCGATACCCCAAAGAATATAGGGGAATGCATCCACCAACATTCTTGGCCTCAGTTATTCCCTCATCTGGAAAACGGGGATGCCACCTCATGTGGCTGGCTGTGAGGGTCTGTGAAAGCTCTTGGCAAATATGGAAGTGTTCCAGAGGGCTTTTCCTCATTCTTCCCTCCTTTTGGGCTATAACTCCTGTGACCACCCCCCTCCTTCTGTTCCACCATTCAAAGTGCAACATGAATCAAGTAAAGTTGGACACGGAGCTAGGACATGGACAGCACAAAGTGTGTAATTCATTGCTTATTTGTAAAAAGCAGGGAAAGAGAAAGGCTCATTCATTCCTAAAATTTTGAATTCTTTCAGTCATTCAACAAGAATTTATTGAGCATCTCAGGCACTAGGCTGGCGCAATGGCAGACCAGGATTTAATTCTTGACTTAACGACTTGAGTCCATGAGTTGAGTGGTCTAGAGCGGTCACTGTATTCCTCTATCCTGTTTCCACAGAGATTAAGGGTCCCTTCTACCTCCTAGTGTTTATCATGAGATGTATTTTAAACTTTATGAAACTTTTTTTTAGGATTCATTTATTTATTTGAGAGAGAGAGAGAGAGAGAGAGAGAGCATGAGTAGGGGGAGGAGCAGAGGGAGAGGGAAAAGAGACTCCACACTGAATGCAGAACCAGATGTGGGACTCAATCCCAGGACCCTGAAATCATGACCTGAGCTGAAATCAAGTATTGGACGCTTAACTGACTGAGCCACCGAGGCGCCCCAACTTTATGAAACATTTCATGCTTGGTCTGACATGCAGTGCATGTTCAGTAAATTGTGCCTATAACAATAGGAACTGGTGGTCACTTGGGTTAAGAATGACATTCTGTCCTCAACCACACCCATCAATGTCAGGAAAAACCGTGATCTCTGAGGTCAAAATAAAATGTTTTGAAGAAAACTCTAAAGTCAGCAACAGCCACAAACAATAGCACCAACAAGGAAATATGACACTTCCTCTGAATTGAGGAATCTTAAAATTTTGTTCCAAAGCTCTGTGGGGAAAAAACACTTCTGAAATAGAAGGTTCTGTTGGTGGCCTCGGGGCAGGGGTGGACAACTCACTCTATCATCCCCTCCCTTTCAGGCTCTTCCCACTTCCTCAGTAGACAGAATTTCCACAGGAATAAGCTCCTGACTTCCAAACAATAGAAGAGAAAGCATGATGCCAAGGTTGTCAAATAAACCACCCAAATTCATTTTTCCTGCTTGGAAACAAAAGGCGTCAATTCATTCATGTATTTATACCCTACAGTAGTTTGAGCCAGAAAGATTTGAAGGAATAAATGAGCTGGGTTCTTTTACCCCCACCTAACTCAGCATGCTGAATGACAGGGACGCGGTGACTAAGAACAGGAGGGAAGGGCTACACCAAACATCCACTTTCCAGTGAGAACACCTTCCCTTGTACAGTCTCGCCTGTCAGATACTTATCAAAACTGTAACTTCATTTTTTAACTTTTAAAAACCAAAAGAAAAAAGACCCTGTATTGGTTTGCCAGGGCTGCCAAAGATTGGGTCACTTAAACAACAGAAACCTATTCCTCACAGCTCTAAAAGCTGGATGTCCAAGGTCAAGGTGTCAGCAGGGTTGGTTTCCTGGAGGTCTCTGTCCTTGGTCTTCTCTCTGTGTCCTGATCTCTTTCTTTGAGGACACCAGGCATATATATTGGATTAGGGGCCATCCATTTGGTAACTCAGTTTACATAGTTACCTCTTAAAGGCCCTCTCTCCAAACATAGTCACATAAGGTACCATGTGTTGGGACTTCAGGATATCAATTTGTGGGAGTGGGGGCAGGGGCAGGGGAGAAGGACACAATTTAGCCCATAACAGAACCCATTGTTTACTGGACTTGGGAGGTGGAGCCATTGCCACCGGTTCTGAGCAAAAGTATTTGGCAATAATACCCAAAAGGTGACAGTTCCAAACAATGTCTTTCAGAATTTCATTTTCATGGGTGACTTCAACGCCGGCTGTAGCTACGTCCCCAAGAAGGCCTGGAAGGTCATTCGCTTGAGGACTGACCCCGGGTTTGTCTGGCTGATAGGGGACCAAGAGGACACCACGGTCAAGAGCAGCACCAACTGTGCCTATGACAGGTAGAAGGCATCTGCCTCACTCAGGCTGGCTCATGCAGTGCTTGATACGCATCAGGGAAGGTGCCCCCCTCAGGGCGGAGGAAAAATACATCTTACAGAGCTGAGTCAATCAGACTTCAGGCCCATGCATGGGGTACTTGTGCAGGGTGCATGCTGCATGGCCATACCTGGGAGCCCTGAGCATTGTAGCTTAGCAGTGGCTAGTTCAGGCTTTCATGTCAGATGAGCCTGGGTTCAAATCCTGCCTCTACCACCTCAGGACTTAAGCTCTGTGTGTCTTTGCTTCCTTGCCTGTAAAACAGAGACTGTAGTAATGCCTCATTCATGAGGCCATGATTAGGAGTAAATGAATAGTATAGGTCTTCTCACACAATGCCTGGCATACGGTTAAGTGTTCCACACATTCACTGGCTGTTAATTATTTCATCACAAAGACATACCAGAATTTAGTCATTCAAATCCCCTGTCATTAAGCTTAGGTTATTGCCAAGAGTTGGCTAGTATAAGCACTGCCGAAATGGACCTCCCATCTGAGACCAGTTATTAGAAGGGTGTTTACACTTTTAAAGCTTTTGCTACACATTCCCAAATGCAAATACATACCTTTAAATAATAGCATTCTTGGGGCACCTGGCTAGCTTAGTCAGTGGAACGTGCAGCTCTGGATCTTATGGGATGAGTTCCAGCCCCATGTTGGGGCTGTAGAGCTTATGTTACAAAACAAAACCTAAAAAAAACCCAGTATTGTATTTATGAAGTCTCCCTGGGAATTTTCAGTCAGTTTTCATTTTTGCTCCTTAAACTGGGAGGTGGGGGAGGCACTTGAAGCCTGTGAATGTTCCTGATCTTCCCATCCATAGTAGAACCTGTGGTGGCCGTGGTTTCCAGACTCAGCCTGCCTCCAAGGAAGCACAAGGTGCTTCTGCCAGAGACAATTGTTCTCACTTCCCTAGTTTTGAGGTCAGAATTTCATTTCCATCCCACAACCTCTTTTATTCCTCTTGGAGCTTTCAGGCTTGGTGTGCCCTTTGCAGAAGTCATTGCTCCAGTTCTCAAGAGTAGAAGCAGCCCTAGCATTGGGGAAAGTGGAATTGAGGCAGGAAGAGCAAAGTGAGCCCTCTCACTTTGAGGGCTTGCCAGCAAAGAGCGTTGGAGATGGCCACTCGCCCACTAGCCTGCTCGCCTACTTGCCTGCTCACACGTGCCAGTTGTGTGGTGTGGCCTTGAGCAGATCTAGTCCCTTCTGCGGCCCCATTCTTTTCCCCTGGCCAACAAAGGGGAGGTGACCAAGAATAAGGAAGCAGAACAGTGAATCACAGGAAAAGATGCTCACAATAGCTTAGGTGGGGTAGGGGAACAGGTTAAAAAGGTGTTTACTGAAAGAACTTCGGTTTTATACAATATATGCCAAAGGATGGCAGGATTACATGTGACTTTTTTTTTAAAGATTAATTTCTCATTTTGTTGCTCTAAATTTTCTGTTTTCCACACCAGCATATTTCTTTGATGTCTTTTTTTATTTTTATTTATTTTTATGTCTTTTTTTAAAGGGGATATCAATTTCTGGGGCACCTGGATGTTTCAGTCAGTAGGACATGTGACTCTTGATCTCTGGGTGTGAGTTTGAGCCCCATGTTGGGCATGGAGCCTACTTAAAAATTAAATTTTTTTTTAAATTAAAGAGATATAACTTTCTAGTAAGGGGAGTGAGATGAAATGGTCTCAATTCCAGTCTTTGTTCTGTGTTCAAATATTTATTGAACACCTCCTACAAGCTATGCTCTGTTGGACATGAAAGATGCCAAGAGCTGGCCTGTGCACAGAGCAACCTCGGGAAAGCCTTCAATGAGCAGCTGACCTGCCCACACATGTACCTGGAAGTCAGAAACGGGGGAGCCTTAATTATGTTGCTCTTGACTCTCTGGGTCTGAAGGATGGCTTTAAAGAAACTCCAACCAAATGTGAAGAGTTTACTTGTGGACTGAGTTCAAATTTAACCACAGTGGTAGCAAACGCAGGAAACCAAATCAGCTACTCAGAATCAGGGAAAGCTCAATGCATAGTCATGAACTGGAAGTTTGACTCACCTTGTCCTTCTTCCGGTCGGGTGGAGCCACGTAGACCCTGACTGCATCACTCCACTTGAGGTACATTAGAGTCCATGTTTCCAAAACTCATTTGACTACCATGTTCCCAGTTTTTGCTATCGCTACAAAGCAACTATACTATGGCTTTCCCCTGTATTTGTCTTTAAATCCATTCATTTCTAATGAAATAAATTAATTTTTAAAGGAGATCTCATACTAAGGTAAGAAAATAGCATTTGTCATAAATCAAAAATAACTAAAAAAGTAAGCCCAGTGAAAACCGAGCAATGTTAAATTCTGCTTTAATTATCTGGCTTGCAGAGTGCTTGGTGATTGTAGCCTGCTCCATCTTGGTCAAAATGGGAGCTTAGGGGGTTATTAAAGATCAGCCAGGGGCGCCTGGGTGGCTCAGTTCGTTGAGCATCTGCCTTCAACTCAGGCCATGATCCCGGGTCCTGGGATCAAGGCCCACATTGGGCTCCCAGCTCAAAGGGGGTCTGCTTCTCCCTTTCCCTCTGCCCCCCATCTGTCACTAGTGCTAGCTTTCTCTCCCTCAAATGAATAAATAAAATCTTTAAAAAAAAAGATAAGCCAGTACCTTTCTCCATAATTGAATCAGGAAAAGTGAAAAATAATTGTCAAGGGAATAATATTCTCAGTCTGTACATCACTGTTCCATGGTGTGGTGTCCATGTTTCTTTCTTTTTTCTTTTTTTTTTAAAGATTTTTATTTATTTATTCATGATAGTCACACAGAGAGAGACAGAGAGGCAGAGACACAGGCAGAGGGAGAAGCAGGCTCCATGCAGGGAGCTCGACATGGGACTCGATCCCGGGTCTCCAGGATCACACCTCAGGTTGCAGATCACACCTCAGGTTGCAGGCGGCACTAAGCCGCTGCGCCACCGGGGCTGCCTGGTGTCCATGTTTCATATAATATCTTCTCTTCCACCTTCAGGGCTACTGCCCACAGGGCCCCAAGCAGGAGATGATCTGATTTCCCAGTTTAGGCACTGTCCAAAGGGTCAGAAAACCAGGCCTGGACTTTGAATATCACACGAAAAGTCCAGGCTGCTCAACCAATTCCAGATGTCAAACAGGAAACTTGGTTTGTCTCAAAATCAACAAGGTGGATTAATGTGACTGTCTTCCATCCCTTTCTCTAGGATTGTGCTTAGAGGACCAGAGATCATCAGGTCTGTTGTTCCCAGATCAAACAGCACCTTTGACTTCCAGAAAGCTTTTCTGTTGACTGAAGAGGAGGTACAGCTGCCCCTTTGTCTTTCTTTGCCACTGTCCTGAGAAGATGGGTTGGTGTCATCCTTTGAGGCCACTGCTAGAGATACAACATTGGGCCATTGGACCTTGAGTCTCAAAGTCTACGATTCTGGGGCTTGAAGACCTGTCTAAATTTCTGATTGGGCTGGTCCAAGGATGATGCTCACTAGTGTGTGTTCTGTTCAATGACTTTAGGTGTTTTATCTTCCCACCTCAAGCCTCAAATTTGTTCATCACTAAAATGACAGTCTCCTAATTCCCAAATTTATGTCCCTTTTCTCTTCATAGGCCTTGAATGTCAGCGACCACTTTCCAGTTGAATTTAAACTACAATCTTCAAGAGCCTTCACCAATAGCAAAAAATCTATCTCTCCAAAGAAGAAAAAGGTCCATCGCTCCTAGATACAAGGGTACCATTATAATAACCATTTCTTGCCTCTAAATAAAACAGTTCTAACAGGTGGAATGAGCTGCTGCCTGCACTCAGGAAACAAGACTGGTCCAACTACTTTCATTTTCAACTTGAATGTAATCTGTCTTGAGTCAGAGCACCTGGGTGGCTCAGTCAGTTAATTGTCTGCCTTCAGCTCAGGTCATGATCCCAGCGTCCTGGGATCAAGCCCCACGCGGTCAGTCGTTGGGCTCCCTGTTCAGTGGAGAGTCTGCTTCTCCCTCTTTTGTTCACTCTCTTTCTCTCAAATAAATAAATAAATAAAATCTTAAAAAGAAATGTCTTGAGTCAAATTGGAAGGAGAGTCTCCTATTATCCTTCTTGGGCTGGTACCTCCCCTGAATTCCCTAATAGGAAACTGGGGGCTTTTACAGTCCTAAAAGATAGTCTTCATGTCCCAAGCTAGAGCCCCATCAGTCGTCACTGCCTGGGCTCAGCCCTGCCATGAAAGAGGCTGCAGGAAGAGGAAGAATGTTGGCTTTCAGCTCAAGGGGATCTCAGTCCACAGGAAATGACCAGAAAGGACAAGGCCTCAACTGCACCCCATGATTTGGGCACTTAACTCTCTGAGGAATCTACTCCATCTTGTCTGAGCTCAGGGTGGTAATTATGTCTCACCGGGATGAAGAATAAAGGCTCTCGCCGCTGGTCTCCCTGCCTCAAATTGTCCTCCAACTCAGCCAGCCCAGTACCTACCAGGGCCATCCTTTGAAATCCCATTCTGACCACAGCCCACCTGTATTCCCATCCCTGCTTCTAAATCCTTCAGGGCCTCCCATCACCCACCTGGGGAGAGCCCAGAAGTTTTGGATGCGCACAGGGGGCTGTATTTTCTGGTGCACCATTTTAGCCTCCTTTTTCTCCCACCTTGTACTCCACAGGACTGTCCCTTCCCCGCACGCCCTAAGCCTCCCTTCTCCTAGACTTTGAGGAGGCCAATGGCTGGCAGAGATTTGAGGATTTTATCATCATTCTACAACCAAAGAGTTGCAGAGGAGTAGAGAGCACCATTTTACCTGGGTCCATGGTGGCCATTTTTGTTTGTTTTGCTTTGCCTTCTCTTAGATTATTTCTTTTGTTTAAATAGTACTCGTGCATGGCTAGATATGCAAGAATACCAAAGACTAAGCAGTGAAAAAGTGAGCTGCTCCGGGACCCCGCCCCCTAGTTTCCTGTGTCAGAAGCAGCCTCTCTTACCAGCCTATGCATTCTTCCAAGAGAGTCTATGATAAATAGACTCCCAAGTGATGGGAGCACTTACTGCACCATATGTAACCCTGAAAAATAGAGTTTTAGCACACTATATCCATAGACTCACTTCTTATCTTCCTTAATATATGAGGGATGATGTGACTTGACATAAGAAAGACACCAGGGATGCCTGGGTGGCTCAGTGGTGGAGCATCTGCCTTTGGCTCAGGTCCAGATCCCAGGGTCCTGGGATCGAGTCCCGTATTGGACTCCCCACAGGGAGCCTGCTTCTCCCTCTGCCGATGTCTCTGCCTCTCTCTGTGTGTCTCTCATGAATAAATAAATAAAATCTTTAAAAAGAAAGAAGGAAAGCAAGCAAGCAAGCAAGCAAACGGCTGATTTTTGAAATTTGGTTGCATCTAACCAAGGGAATAAAATCAAAAAGGCCCTGCTTAAATGGGAAAACCATTTTCCCTCAAATATCCAATGAACCTCAGGGGTCTTTTTGGAATTGGTGGGGGAGGTGGTGAGGCTGTAAAGCCTTTGTCACCCCCTCTTCTGAGCAGGGCTCGCTGTCCCAGGAAAACTCCCAGTTTCCAAGGTCCAAAGTGGTCAAGTAGGCAATTCCCACATGAGCTTATTCTGGAGGAAAGGATCATCCTTTTGCCCTAAAGGCCAGCAGCATGGCTGGGACAAGAGCCCTGTGCTCAGTGGAGGAGGCAGGGAAAGTGGACCAGACACTAAGTGAACTTGTCCATGGCTCCGAGCTCCAATCCTACCTCCCTACGATCTGTTCACCTCCCAATAACCAGGATAGACTTCCTGAAATGGAAATCTCATGCTATTGCCCCCCCTCACTAAAATCCTCAGTGGCTCTCCATTTCTCTTTGGGTAAAGACCCCAATCCTTATCATATCTTACAAAAAGCCTTGTATATTTTGGCCTTCACTTACCTCTCCATTTTCAACCATCTGTACATTCTTGCCACGTCTAGTTCCTCAATTCTTCATGCTCCCCCCAGCTTCTGGGCTTTTGCACAGGCTGTCTCCTCCACTCCCCTCACTCTTCTCCCCCCATTCACTTAGCTAACTTCTTATTCCTCAAAACTCAGCTGAAATCTTGCTCAATCAGGGAGGCTTTTTTTTTTACTAGGTTCCCCCAGTTTTTCTAGGACCCTCCATCACACCTGCCCATGGTGCTCTCCATGCCTCTTTCCTAACCTCTATCACCTGTGTAGCTAGTCGTTCAATGTCTGCCCCCGCCCCCAACCTACAGCCTCTGTGAGGACAAAGCTGTGTCTTCCTAAGACACTGTTCACAAAGTTTTTGTGGAATTAATTAAACTCAGGGGGCATTACTGTGCCGTCTTGGAGAAGAAGGCCATAGTCTTTACATAGTTATCCCCTCAAAAAAAATTTTTTTGGAGCTAAAAGTAGTAGACATTGGGTAGTAGAATTGTCGTAATTTTTATTTTAGAAAAGCTTCCCAATGGAAACACCTAACTTACAAAGTTAGGGAGTGATTTCTGCTGGTTCAAATTGGGGATTACAAAACAGTGCTGGGGCCCCCTGGGGGCTCAGCTGGTTAAGCATGTGACTCTTGATTTCAGTGCATGTCTTGACCTCAGGGTCATGAGTTCAAGCCCCACGCTGGGCTCCACACAGCTGGGTGTGGAGCCTACTTAAAAAAAAATGGACAGTACTTTCTAGGGTATTCAAGTTGGTCAAGGAATATTCAAAAGATATAACCTGGGATACCCCAGGGATACAAGAACTACAATTCAGCTAAGAAAAGGTAAACCTCAGGACGCCTGGCCGGCTCAGGGGTTGAATGTCTGCCTTAGGCTCAGCTCATGATCCTGGGGTCCTCGGATTGAGTCCCACATTGGGCTCCCCAGAGGGAGTCTGCTTCTCCCTCTGCCTCTCTCTATCTCTCATGAATAAATAAAATCTTTTTTTTAAAAAAAGGTAAATCTCAGCTTGAACTTGCCTCCTGCCCCAGACTTTTGGATATACTGTTCCCTCAGTTTAAAGCGCTCCTCCCCTCTTTGCCCCTCTTCCCTACAAATACGATGTCCCTGTCTCCATAGGCCTGAGGCTTTCATACCCTTCAAACTCCATGCAAATCTACTTTTCTCTAAGATGAATGCAACAGACACACACACACACACACACACACACACACACACACACACACCTTTCCCAAGTATCTGCCCACCTGGCACATACTCTCCAGCTGGTCCAGATTCCAGCTGACTGGTGCAAGCCCATGTTCCTTCCTCATGAGCTCCTCAATGACAGGAGAAAAATCTGTGTTTGTTATCCGTAAAAACTCCTTCTGCTGATACACTCTTCTCTGGGAAACTCTTCTACTTCCCCCATCAAATAGCCTGGAAGTTTCATTTCTTTCTTTTTTTTTTTTTAATGTATTTTGAGATTCTTGTTTGAAATATTTTAATAGTTTCAGAGAGATTAGAGCTGAAAATACCCTCAAAGATGATAAATAATAATAATAAAAAGAAATAATAGTCCCATTTGTAGGGCTTGCTCTAAAGATTCATGGCATACACTCTCTCAGTGAATTCCAACTATGTCACTAAAAAGGTGGGGTCTGTTGTCATCTCCATTTTATAAATGAGGAAACTGAGGCCCAGAGAGGTTGAATAACTTACCCACGGTCACACAGCTGGTGAGTAGTGGAGCCCAGCATGATTCTTCATGAGGCACAGTTGGCACAGGGTGTGGGGCTCATGATACTTTTAAGGCCACAGAAATACTTTCTTTCAGAATAAGAAGGAATAAGATTAAATTTTGGGTCGAAGAAAAAATTTTAATATGTAATATTAATATATTTATATTTATACCAACATAGTTGTAAAACATAACTTCTGCTATTTCTTTATGGAAGAAAGGATGCATGAAGGCAAAGTGCCTGAGGACCATGAAAATCATCATGTGGCTCTGGTGGGGTCAAAACTCAAATCAGGTCAGTCTGTCTTAAAAGTTCATGTTTTCACTAGGCCAGTCTGACCCCAATTTACAGGCGAGGAAATCGAGGTCCAAGGCCAGGCAGTAAATGAATGGCAGCCCCCAGCCTGGAACGCACGTTTCCAGCAAGCCAACCACCCGCTCTGTGGTCCCACAGCACCACCTGGTGCTCTTGCTGGGCACTTCCCTGCAGTCAAAGGAGGAGCCTAAGTTTCCAAGATCTATAAAGAACTTATGAAACTCAACAGCAAAGAAACAAACAATCCAATCATGAAATGGGCAAAAGACATGAAGAAAAATCTCACAGAGGAAGACATAGACATGGCCAACAAGCCCATGAGAAAATGCTCTGCATCACTTGCCATCAGGGAAATACAAATCCAAACCACAATGAGATACCACCTCACACCGGTGAGAATGGGGAAAATTAACAAGGCAGGAAACCACAAATGTTGGAGAGGATGCGGAGAAAAGGGAACCCTCTTACACTGTTGGTGGGAATGTGAACTGGTGCAGCCACTCTGGAAAACTGTGTGGAGGTTCCTCAAAGAGTTAAAGATAGACCTGCCCTATGACCCAGCAATTGCACTGTTAGGGATTTACCCCAAAGATTCTGATGCAATGAAACGCCGGGACACCTGCACCCCGATGTTTCTAGCAGCCATGTCCACAACAGCCACACTGTGGAAGGAGCCTCGGTGCCCATCGACAGATGATGGATAGAGAAGCTGTGGTTTATGTATACAATGGAATATTACTCAGCCATTAGAAACGACAAATACCCACCATTTGCTTCAACGTGGATGGAACTGGAGGGTATTATGCTGAGTGAAGTAAGTCAATCGGAGAAGGACAGACATTATATGGTCTCATTCATTTGGGGAATATAAAAAATAATGAAAGGGAATAAAGGGGAAAGGAGAGAAAATGAGTGGGAAATATCAGAGAGGGAGACAGAACATGAGAGACTCCAAACCTGGGAAAGGAACTAGGGGTGGTGGAAGGGGAGGAGGGCGGGGGGTGGGGGTGAATGGGTGACGGGCACTGAGGGGGGCACTTGATGGGATGAGCACTGTGTTTTATTCTATATGTTGGC